TGCCCTAACTTGATATTGAATATATTGAAAATGTTTGAAGCCTTGTCGGCTTATAAAATTGTTGTCTGGTCAGCTTATATGGATGTTCAAAGATTGCTTGTAGGATCAATTGTACAGGCACACGTAGTCACTGTATTGAATACTTTAATTGTTAGATGATTGAGATATTGTGATTGTCTTTTAGGCTAATCATTGTGTATTAGATATAGACACTCATACACAATGCCTCCTAAATATGAGTACGGAGTTATGAAGAAAAAAAGGAAACGAAATATAAATATTTTTTTTCTTTATATTTGTTTGTTGTTCTACTATTTAGTGTTAAGTTAGCAATACGTTGCATAATATACTGTTGGATTTTGCATTTACGTTGATTTTGAGGGGCCCAATTTTGGGAATTCGCCTCGAGCCTTGAAAATCATAGGACCGGCCCTGCCAATCATTCCCTAGCTGAATCTCTCAAAGTGTAAGGAAAAAGCCTCAACCAGATTGCTTCATTTGAAACCAATGGATATTCTATTATCGCACACATGTCCAGAAATCTAGAGATATGAGTATTGAGATTTTCAATAGCCCTCCCAAAGAATTGTAGTGTATTCTGGAACATATTGATCACATCCGTCCTCAACTGAAAATTTACATGACTAAATGTCGGATACACAATACTGCATTTGCTTCTGGTGGGACCATCAACCTAGAATTCTCATTTCCTGCCGTTGCAATTGGATGTGTTGCTTCTTCATTCGCCCCGATGATAATTTGATTTTGATTTTGTTCTGCCATAAGCCCTACTTGCTATTTTTTATGTGCTTTTATTTGTTTTCTTCTTCTCAATCTAAATGTTCATTCAATTTTCGTATCAAATTGATCAAGATCACCGTGTCTCGAATTTTGCATACGAAGTCCTGAAAAGGAAAAAAATAGCAAATACTGTAATATTTTTCTAATAAATAAAACTAAATAAATAAGCAATAAAAAATCAAATTAAAGTTAAAATTAATTAAAACTAATTAAATACAGTAGTTTTCGTCAACGGCGCCAAAAATTTGACCGTTTGATTTCCCACAAGTGAACGAGTTCGTGAACAAGTAATATAATAGTATGTAGAGTGTCGAACTTACGAAAACTAAGTATTCAATTCAGTTCAAATTAATAGTTGCCTTAATCGAATAGCAAATATGTTTCAAATTTTTTATACTAATATTTAAATTATCGATTAAATTAGAAAGCAATTTAACTGATTTTTTTTAAAAAATATATGAAAGTATTGCTAAGATGTCGAATCCCTCTTATTAATCAATCTTTAACACCATAAATTAAAGTGACGGTTTGTAGTTATTCTTATTGGTCAATGTTCCTAATATAATTGAAAACCTCTCTCGATAGTATCAAAATTATCCCCCTAATGTGACCTAGAATCTCTCGATGAAATATGGGAACATGATAAATGCATTAAACGATCTAGAACGCCTATAAAAATCATGTAAAGTATAGATGTATATTTCTATCCCTATCGGACTTTACAATTTTTATCATTTTTAACTAAAAACCTATTATCTATCTCAATAATAATAGATTCTAATAAATCATTTCAATTAGTATCTAATTAATTGAAAAGTCGGTAAAAAAATAATAAATATCTAAGAAAATAAACATACTAGTCGTCAAAATAATTAGTTAATACTAAAAATTTCAAAATAAGAGTTCATCTATATCTTAGTAATGTAAAAATCTAATCTAGCATAATGTCGAAATTAAACACGCAAAAATGGAACGATATCACAAAAAAATTGACAAAACATGATTGATTCTTCAAATTGAAGTTGTCGTCTCGTCTTCTGTGTGTATATGTGTGTCTCCGTCTTTTTTTCTGTATGTTGTCTGTATCAATATATATCTTCCCTTTGCAACCACAATCTATGTATAATTTCAGTCCCTAATTTGTGGCCCATTAATAAATTATTTTCTCTAAGTTTTCAATTCAATCCTTGAGTCTACTTAAGTAAACGCAACCAAAGCCAATTTAGTCCTCGTACTTTAGATTTTGCCATTTTGCATCACCTCTTGCTTCTTTCTTTCAATTCATTTTTCATTCACAGAGTTTCACTTATTAAACATAAAATACAACAATTTAAAATATATTTTGTTCAAAAGAACTATCAAATATCTCTATTTTAGGCCCCGAATAAGTGTATAAAATATATTTATCAAATATTTCAAACTTAAACATTTGTTTGTTCTCGAACAAAATTATAACATAAATAACAACAAACACACCAACATACGAAAGTATTTGGTTAAACAATTTAGCCTTTTATCTCAGTGTTTGAAATTATAGTACTAAATCTACAAACCGCTTCAAAGTCACAATACCAAACAAATATTTACTTTTCCAATACAAAATCGACGTGTGTGAAGAACTAAATAAACAATCATGAATTTACAAGTTGCTTCAATTCCCAACTCTCTGTTGTCAAGTATATCCTTTCACATTTTGTATGATTCATACACCCTCAAATTTGTTCTTTTTTCACTCTTTTCTCAGTGTGTAATCTAAGGTAGAATTTTTCATTACTATCCTCACCCACTCTAGTTCAGGTGGACTTTTCTAATTGTAAGTCAACACATCAATAAACAAAGATTCTCCAATTCTTTGATTGCTTCGACCTCTAAGACTAAATTAAGCTGACAATCCCTCATCAAAAGTCAAATTCCCTTAAACAAGTGTTTGGAGCATAACTAAGGCATTTAGTGCTCTCTCTCTCTCTCTCTCTCTCTCTCTTTTTGTAATTATGCACTTGCTTTCTTGATTTTCAAAATTATTTTTCTTTTTGTATTTTCTCCCTTAATCTTTCTAATCATATAGCAGGCTTTAGCCCGATAACTCTCAAATCAGATGACTTTTGAGCACCAGATTTTAAACACCCTTACATGTTTAATAACGCAAGTCAAAAAAGTTTCGATGAGAAGTTTCACTTTTAAAAAAGATTTATGCCTTGATCAATGCAATACTCTTCATTAAACTTGGCTGTTTGATTTCCGGCAAGTGAATGGATTTATGAATAAGTAACATAGCAGTGTATAGAGTGTCAAATACACGAGAACTAAGTATTCGATCGAGTTCAAATTAATAGCAGCATTAATCGAATAACAAATATATTTTGAGTTTTCTATACTAATATCTAAATTATTAATTAAACTAGAAAGCAATTTAACTGATTTTTTTTTAAATATGTGAAAGTATTGCTATGATATCGAATCCCCCTTATTAATCCATTTTTAACACAACAAATTAAAGTGACAGTTTGTAATAATTCTTGTTGGTCAATGTTCGTAATGTAATTGATGTTGGTCAATGATCTTAATGTAATTGAAAACATCGCTCGATAGTTATCAAATACATTCCCCTCATGTGACATTCCTATCTCTCGATAAAAGATGCGAATGATAAATGTATTAAACGATCAACAGTACCTATGAAAATCATGTAAATCATAAATGTATATCTCTATTCCCTATTAGACTTTATAATGTTTATTATTTTTTGCTAAAAACCTATTATCTCTCTCGATAATAATATATTCTGATAAATCATCTCAATTAGTAGCTAATTAATTGAAAAGTCGGTGAAAACAATAATAAAATCCAAAAAATTAATTAAGAGTTAATCTATATCTATATTTAAGCAATTTAAAAATATAACATAGCATAATGTCGAAATTAAACACGCAAAAGTGGAACGACATCACCAAAAATTGATGAAACGAGATTGATTCTCCAAATTGAAGTCGTCGTCTTTTACGTTCGTCTTCTGAGTGTATGTGTGTCGCCGTCTTTATTATTATTATTATTATTATTATTATTATTATTATTATTATTATTATTATTATTATTTCTGTATGCTTTGTGTATCTATCGTTTTTTTTTTCTCCAAAGCTGCCCCATTTTTTTCTCTATGTATGCATGTATATACAGCATCACATCTTACTTCTTTCCTTCAATTCATTTTTCATTCATAGAGTTTCATCGAATTTACTAGGTATTGAACACGATGTCTTGACTTGTTAATGAGTTAAATTTATTTAACATTCATAGATCTTATAACTAGAGATTCGATTTTCTCAGTTCCAAACAAAATGAAAATAATTTGATCATTCTTCTACACTCGAATTTTTATATGACGTCCTAAGGTTTCTTAGTGCGCTTTTATTGTTCAATTTCTAGTGTTCTTGTGATAGTATTCTAACAAAGTTTAGTTTGATGGGGGTAAATATCATCTAGGTAACTAAACTTTTAGTAAAATTCTAATAAACTTCTATTTAGTTTCACTTATATCAATGAAATATTTGAGGAGTTTTTTTTATTATAAATGTTTATAATTTCTTAGTCTAATCTTGACGGAGTCGTACAATTTGTCGTTGAGCCTAGTAACAAATCTCTCGATGTATTACTCCTTTGGGAAATTTAAAAAAATATATAATGTTATTATTTTAGTTTTTGGGGCATCACTTAGTGATTATGTGGAATATCAAATATGGTATGTTGCTAACTAAGTAATTTTCATGAGTTTGGAGATAGGTGACAAAATATGATAGGAATAGAATTTAAAACTATATTAAAGTTTAATGACCTAATTAAGATTTCACTTAAGTCGTAAATGAAATTTACCCTGGGTAGAAATTAGAAAATGTGGAAGAGGCTAATTTTGGAATACAAAGCCCAATTTTCTTGGTTAATTTGATTTTATTTGTGGTGTGGCGAGTACCAACATGACTCGTCAATACGTTGTCGTTTTACGTTGAAACGTGAGACCCATTTATTTGCCTACATTTTCTATTCTCAAAACCCAAAAAAAAAAATAAAAAATATCAGAGATTTTGCAGGAAAAAAAAAAAAAAACTGAGGCTATTATTGTTCGCCACGAGCCACATTTTTTTATTTTTTATTTTGTGCGTGTGGGTGTGGGTGTGGGTGTGAGTGGTGCGAAGAGTCAGAGGAAAATGGAGAGTGCGATTAGTTGCGGACGAGTTCCTCTTTCCCCTAATCAAATCTTCCAACCCATACCCGGTAATTTCATTTCTAGTATTTTTGTTTTTGAAAGTTTTTATATTTTTTTTGATTTTGTTGGTGTTGGATATTAAATTACTTGTTTTCATTTGTTATTAACAGCTTATCTTTCAGTAATCTATCAAGTTTATATCTGTATCATCATGTGATAATTGGTTAGTTTTGCGAAGGAAAATTTTAATTTATACCGCCTTGGTGGAATGAAACGGAGCAGACTTTTCACGAGCAATTGTTACATACTTGAAAAGGCTTTAATGGTTTATCAGGTGCTTTGTATTCTATGCTATTTGTGTATTATGTTGGTGCCCAATGTGGAGAAGTTTGAAATATTTATCGGATGCTTTGTGTTCTATGCCATACCATTTTTTGTATTATGTTGGTGTCCAATGCGATGAAGTTCCAAAATAATCCGTTTTGGTAGAGTACACAAGCAATGCAAGTAACCGAATGTAATCCTGAGAATGCATATTTTTATGAAGCATTCGTACAAGTACGAATATTTACAATACATTGAAAATGACTACCTTCTCCTTTTTATTGCTCGAGACTTTTATATAGACGAGGTGATATCGGAAGTTTGTTTCTAATCAGAACTCACTGAATTGTACGATGGATCACTGTTGGAATCAGCTTTGGTGTTTGTCTTTGTGAACAACTTTCTTGTTCCCTCATACCGCATAATTTGTTCCATTAGTTCTGAACTGTCCTATCATTGTGCATCAACTCACATACCTTGAACATTTTAAGGTTTCCACTTTAGATAATCTTTCGCTTTAAATTATATACTCTTCCCCTTTCTATGTGATACTGTATTTTCAACTCTGCCTGGCATTAAATTTTTATCAACGGAAAACAACCCAGGAATGGAAGTACCATTAACCATGGTGTCAGAGTTGTGCTGGGAGCTTACATAATTTGGAATCCGATAATAACCTTAAATTTCCTTTTGTGTGACATAAATGCAGAGGAAGAAGTCAGTTATGATTTAGGGGACTAGCAAGTTGTTAGATGCACTAAGCTCTAATCGTCACTGGTGTTAATAACCGTTTAAACACCTCTTAAAATTACAAACTGTTTTTAGATTGAGAATCAATCATATTTTTGGGCTTTTTATATAGTACTTCTTTTAATTCGGGTTCTATTTCTGCCTCCTTTTTAGTTATCACGTGTAATCTTATAAGCCCTTTAGCCACTTAACTACAAATCTGTTAAGTTTTGATGATTTGTTGAAGTATTGCCTTCGATTGAGATATTTGGTTGATGTGTTCAATAGCGGATAAGTACCCATGTCATAAACAATGCACAAGCCGGAGTTCATTTACCTCAATGCCAATAGCTGCTCTAGGAAAAGGCGGTGGGGTTTTGGAGAAGCCTATCATAGAGAAAACAACACCAGGACGTGAATCTGAGTTTGATCTGAGGTATGGATGGTCTTATAACTCTGTATGTGTGTTGCTTTTTCAAATAGGGCTTGTACTGTGACATAGTACAATGGAGATTTTAAATTCATAAATAGTGATAAAAATAATAAGAGATCAAGATAAATAAGGTGACCGATCAAAGCGTGGGAATAGCAGCAACTCAACCACTTACAGTCACTCTTACAAGGAACCGTTGGAATTTGAAGAAGCGCCTTGCTTCTTGTGTTTCCATTCAAATTTCTACTTACGGTTGCACTTACTATGTGTATATCATAGCTTTCTTTGATATGTGTAGATAATATGGAGATATACTTTACATATAGCTACTTATAATTACAGTGACAAATTAATGAGAAAATATTTAGTTTTAGCTCTTTGATATGGTATGTGGGCACTTAAGCATCATTTTCATTTATGTATCCTGGTCAAACACTCCATCATATATTTGCATTGTTTAGGCACAATAATATGTAGAGTCGAAACAAAGATTCAAAATTATCATTGGAGGGTAAACCTATCTGCACATTCCAACATCTATCTGCAGAGGTATAAATTCTCTTTTCCATTTTCCAGGAAATCGAGGAAAATGGCTCCTCCTTATCGAGTGATGCTGCACAACGACAATTTCAATAAAAGGGAGTATGTTGTGCAAGTGCTAATGAAGGTTATTCCTGGGATGACGCTCGACAATGCTGTAAATATAATGCAAGAAGCACATTATAATGGGCTATCAGTTGTAATAATATGTGCTCAAGCAGATGCTGAAGAACACTGCATGCAGCTCAGAGGCAATGGCCTTTTGAGCTCGATTGAACCTGCCAGTGGTGGTTGCTGAGTTCATTTAAATTACATTGTAGAAGTAGTCGTAAAAAACTAGGTCGCTGCATAATGTACAAAAAGCCTGGGAACTGAATGATGTCATGTGATTACTATATCGGCTTGCTAAGACAAAGCATATAGATAATAAATACCTTCTGTGAACCGATGTGGATGGCCCTGTTTAGTGTATGTGTAGCTTCTACAGGTGATTTCACGTCAATGCAGTTACGTATAATCTTCTATTTGCCTGCTGCGTATGCCCCATGTCAACATATATTGAAAGACGAAACTTTTTTATATTGTGTTATATGTTGATGGCGGATGTGAAGTTTTCTCCTCATCATTGATCCAGGGACGTAAGGTTAAATTATTGGGGAAAGTTGATATCTTGGAAATAGATATAGCAAAGGGGTGAAAGGGAAATGTCTTCTTCACATAAGATGTAATGTTGTGTTTTCATATTCTTTGTTCATATTCTAAGTACATGTTTGGAAGTGCTTATAAGTTGTGAGGCTTACAGAATGTGTGGATAGTAACTGAATAATAAGTTTTGATATTATAAAATGAATGGATGACAAGTATGTTTGATTAGCACAAAAAATTATGATTTGCCAAACATACTATAAAATCAACTCATCCACTAAATTAATTATTCTTAAAATCAGCTAAGGTATGACCATTGACCAAACACGAATGGAGTGGCTTGATTGCTTGTAAATTAAGCATCAATTTGCCAAATCGAAGGTTAGTGACCTAGTTGCAAGGATAATCAAAGTTTAATGTATACCCATCCATGAGGAAAAAAAAAAAGTGGAAGGGCCCCTGAGAATATAGAAGTGGCTCGGCCTAATCAAATCATAAAATTAGCTTTAAGAATTGAAACTATTTGAGAACTGTGTATAGAGAAAAGAAGAAGAAGAGTTCTAGTATTCTTTCTATGTGCTTGTTCATTTACTGTTTTGACCAATTATTCCAAATTATAATGAGAGAAATAGTAATTTTTTGGAGAAGTGTGGTTAAAAAAAAAAGAAAAGTTTTTGGGTTTACGTGTAATATTATTTTATTGAAAAATGTGTGATCGATAATAAAAGAGGAAAATAAATTACAATTTAATGAGAAATAATGGGGGCCAAATGTGGGCTTATTATACATACAATTGTTTTCGAGTGTTGTGAAGGAGGTCCGGGATGTCTAATGTAATCTATGAGTTTGATATTATTTATTCATATAGATTCCATAATTGACTGGTAGGCCATGACATTCTACATTCAATATACGCATTGTCATAACAACGCTGATGCGAGATTTTTGTAATTTATTCGATTTTAATTATATCGAAATTAGATATCAATATTTGGAATAAGAATCAAAACCATAGTTGCACATGATAAAGTTGTAATGTGTGAGATGATTAGAAAAGGAGCTCAAAATATTTTGAATATTGTTGAAGATGTGTATGGCTAGACATTGGGATGTTTTTGGTTATAAGGAGATTGAACTACCCTTAATAGGTTAATCTTTTGATACGACACCTCAAGTCCTAATAAATGGTATTAGAGATATAGCATAGGCTAGCAATGTGAATGCAAAAAAAAAAAAAAAAGAATTTCCAAACGTTTATTGAAAATTCGAACGAAAGTGTAGATCCTGATTAGTTGTGATGGTCAATGATGGAGATTCGATTGTAACACGAGCTTAGCGTAGTGGAGATGAGGTAGATTGTCATCACTTGAGGTATAGGGTGGTGCTGTGATGATTTGTGAAGCATGATTACGAGGTATTTGGTGTTTTGAAAGATTGTTGAATATGTGTAAACAAAAGTTCTCTTTTATCTAGACCAATATTTTGAAAATCGACCAGAGCAACGACCCGAAAAAAGAAAAAAAAGGGTTATGGACCAAAGGGTCGAATCGGTAATTTTTAAAAAAGGAAAAATAAATAAATTCACGAAGAAAGAAAATAATGAAAATCAAGTTTTTTTGAAATCAAATCTCAAAAATTGCATTAGCTACTCATCACATGTAATTAACAAAAATAATCAAATACAATCAACAAAGTAATTTGCTGCGCAATCCAATTATATAATGTAAAAAATAACTTAAATAAGCCAATAACATTAAGTAAATAAATTAGTCAACAACATGAAAACCTAAAGAGTTAAAATTTAAAACTTCAAAATTTCGCACCATCTATCTCCAATAACAAAATGTCGAGAATAATTGAATCCAAAAAGTGCACTAAACATCAAAGATTAAAAAATTAAATTTTGTCTTCATTGTTTTCATCTATAAGCCAATCCAATCCTTGACTTTCATGATCTCTTGAACCACCAAACAATTAATAATATCCAATGTACCTAAATCATGTCTCTGGAGTAAGCTCGTCATTTTCGTTGTCATCTAAAGTACAAAGATAAGAAATAATATATTAGGTAAATGTATCTAACTAACATAATAAATATCAAAACAATGAATTAAGATTGTTAAACTTACAAACCTTGAACATAAGAATCATTTTCATGATCATTAACATAGGAAGTTGCATCTTCTTCATAAATACCATGATTTAATTCTACATACTGGAAATCCTGAAGTGATACCTCTTCCTCTATCCAAAAGTCTTGGGTAACAAACTCATAATCAACTGGATAATAAGATCTCTTCTTATAATTAAGTCTATAAGTTAGTAAATTAGTTAGATAAGGAAAAAAATAATCAAATAAAGTGAGACATTAAAATAAACTCAGGACGTAAATAGAGTGAAATTATATACATATTCTTCAGTCACAAATTATAAGTAACACATACAAAATCATTTAGTCTTTGATGCTCCAATCTTTTTTTTTTTTTGTGAATACGTTTAAAGACACTCAAATTCCTTTCACATCTTGAAGAAGAAGCTGTTTGACCAAGAATTTGAGCAGCTATATTAAGTTTACAAGATCACTATTCTACATAATAAGTAACATTTAAAATGCGATTGATAATCTTAACAAAGTGGAAATTACATATTAACAGGTATTTAAGTTTTCCAAATAAAAAATCAGGTATGGAGTTTATTTAACCAAAAATTAGGTATCAATTAAATTATTAATAATATTATAAAATTTACCCACCCCACCCCACCCCACCCCTCCCACCCACTCCTCACTACAAAACCTAAAATATTTCCCATCATCTCTCTCTCTAACAGGCTGCCTATGAGACTGCATTCATATAGTTGATGTGTGCAACGATGATGATAGGAAAATTGCCATCGCGTGCCTAGTTTTCTCTCTCCATCTCAATCTTTTCTTGCAGAGCCATCTATGAGGTGGCATTCATAAAGCCGTCACGTGCAGCGACAATGATTGAAAAAATCGTCGTTGTGCACTTGAACGTAAGACCTAGACGGGGTCACTCGTGGCGAAGTAGATTCATCAATGGATGACTTTTCTGGTTTGGTTGGTATGCTACGATTTGGTGCACGGCGGCGCTGGTTTTGAATATGTTGTTCATCTGCCCGTCGTCGCTACTCGGCGCAATCTAGTGCGCGACAACACTGCTCGTGATTTATGACGGTGGTGTTTTTTGTTGGATTTGTTGGTTTTTAGAATGGTGCGTAACGGTGGTACTGTGATCTATGGTGCATGATTTGTGACAGTGGTGTCGTGGTGGAAGTTTTTGTTAGATTTCTTGGTTTTTGGAGTGATGGTGATTTTTCATGTTTAGATGTTGGTGGTGGTTTTTGTTGGCGGTGTCAGTGTTGTTGTGATTGTTGGCAGCGACAGGAATGGGTCTTAATGAAGAGTGTTTGTGACCAATTATTTAGGTGTTTGTGACCAACTATTTGATTGATTTGTGACCAAATATTGGTAGTGGATTCGGACCGAGATCAGGATCGGAGGTGGGGTTGGGGTGTTTGGTGTATGTGACCAACAATTTGGTTAATTTGTGATCAACTAACTATTTGGTTATTTGTGATCAACCATTCAATTGCAACCCAAAAATTCTATAATTTGTGATCGAAAAATAATCTGTGACCAGTAAATAAGTTGTCACATATAAGTACGCACCTATACCATTAATCGTATAATTGTAACTTTAATATATTTAACTATTTATTTATCACCCAAGTTTTGAATTTTGAGATTTTAAGCTTGAAAATTGAATTGGCCAATAGTTAATACCCAAGTTGTAAATTTTTCCCCCTTAACAAAATACAAATGGTTTTTGGGTTAAAAACTTCTTTGGGCCCTAAACTTATGTACATGCCTTATTTTGGGGGAAATTATAAAAACTCAGGTGCTTAAAGTTTGGAATTCAAAAATCAGGGACTAAGTTTTATCATTCAAAAATCAGGTACTATATAATAAAACATAACCCTAATTTATCACTCAATTTCCCTTGCCTCCCTCCCTCCCTCTCGCCTCCCCTCTCCTCTCTTTCCCCCTCTTTCTCTGTAACCTCCCCCTCCCTCCCTAGTAGTAGGGGTGGGCAAAAAATCGACCGACCTGACGAAACAGACCGAATCAACCCAAATCGACCAGTTTGGGTCGGTTTTTTACATTTTTTGGGCGGTTTTCGGGTTGGGTGGTCGGGTCAGGTCGCGGGGTGGCACCCTAAACCCAACCCAACCCAACCCAACCCAAGAAAAAAAAACGTTAAATTGAAAAAACAACGAATAGTTTTCTCAATTATTTTCAGATCGTATTAGGAATTAGTTTTTGTTAGCAATTTTTTATTATTAAAACTGGAGCTTTCTAAATTGATCGAGAATTTTAATTAAAAATTTCTTGAAGATAAGGAATACCAGCGCGAGATTTAGGGATGAAGTAGAGAGACTAAATTAAGTATTTATTTTACTAATTTTTTATATTCAATAAAGTCAAAAAGTCACGTTGTATCATAAAAAATTACATTATAGAGTATGAATCATTATGGATGATCACAAGACATTTCAAAAAATGAAGTACGTTAAATGAAGTGACTTCGAATTTCTTCAATTCGATCCATCGTTCGTGTTTGGTTCAATCTCTAATCTAAAACTGCACTATGTCCATATTTGTCTTGTCAAGTCATTTCGTTCGATAATTCTTATTTCATAATCAAATTTAACATAAATGTCGATTTTCAATTACGTCCCACTACTCTTGTTCTCTTCATTTTTTTTTATGTCCTTGCTATATTAGCTCTGATGCCGTGTCTCTAGTCTCACATCAGATTTGGAAATGTTCACATACAATTCTCAAGCTATACTACTGGTCCCGTTAGGATCTCAATTCATTTAATTCCAACACGTGTCAAAAAAATTGGAATTTATGATTCAAACCGACCAACCCAACCTAACCCGACTCGACCGACACATAATTGGGTTGGGTTGGGTTGGGTTGGGTTGGGTTTCAACATTTACATGGATTGGGTTGGGTTGGATTTCGAACAAACCGACAATGTTGAGTTGGGTTTGGGTTAGGGCAAAAACCGACCCAACACAACCCACGCCCACCCCAGCAGCGTCGAGCTGCTGCTGAGCAGCTCCTCGACACTGCTGTGAATGGCAGCAGAGCAATTCACATCTGCGAGTCGCAGCAGTCGGTGAATCGCAGCAGCGATTCGAGGTGCTGCTGCTAGTGACTATGGTGTGGGTCGCTGCTGCTAGTGTCGAGGTGAGTGGGTTGGCTGTTGTGTGTGGGTCATGTCGCTGTTGGTGTGTTGGTCGGCTGTTGGGGATCGACTGTGTTGGTGGATTGTCTGTGGGGGGTGTGGGTCGACTGTGTTGGGTGGTGGTGATGGTGTTTGGGTTGGATATTTTTGCAGATGGTGGTTGTGGCGGATCTGGATGTTGTCGTGATGGTGGTGGATATGGCTGTAACGGATGGGGGCGTCTGTGACCAACTATTTAATCGTCTGTGAGTATATATTAGGTGTATGTGACGAAAAATAATTTGTGACCAAGAAACTGTAACTTATGTGACCTATAAAAAAAATGTGACCTGTAATTTGAATGATATGTGATCTCGAAATAATATGTGACTTGTAAAATTTTTGATCAGTAACCATGCAATAATTTGTGACCAATTAATTTGACGATATGTGACTAGTAAATAAATTTGTGTCTTATAATTATGAATATGTGACCAGTCGCCGGAAAAGTTGTCGGAGAAGAGTGATGGTCGGAATGGTCGTCGGAACAATCGCCGAAAAAACATGGTGGTCGGAATAGTCCCAGAGTAGAAGGGGTAGTGCAAATGATGTGGGTTAATTATATTATATTATATTATATTAAAAAAAAAAAAAACCTGACTTTTAAATTTTTAAACTATAAACCTGATTTTTGAATTGGTGTAAAGTAAACACCTCATTTATGAATTTTTCCCTTATTTTGGTCTCCAAACTTAGCCCTTGGTTGGGTTCAATTAAACCCAAAATACATTTTTTCAAAATTCATTTTAATCACACATTTTTTAATAAAATAATATTACATGTAAATTTTAAAAATTTCCTTACTTTTAACCACACATCCTCTAAAAAACTACTATTCAAAAATATATATTTCCCAAAACTTCATTAAAATAGAGCCCAAACAAGGGAATTTGCTTGGTAAATTAACAATGAACTTCTAATTCTTTATCTCTGTAGTGAACTCAACTCCATCTTTGAAAACAAATGAAACTTGTACGCAAACTCGTACGCAAACATTTTGGGGAATAAAACCCTAAAATCCAAGTTTCATATATCTCATGTAAGTTCTATTCTCACTTAACCACTGAAATAATTTCACGAAGAAGTTGTGCGCAAGTTCCATTGGTTTTCAGAGACGGTTGAAATACATATACTGAGGTAAAAATAGAAATTTCAAAGTTGGATGACCAAAATAGAGTACACCTGTTGATGTAGAATAGGAAGGTAGGTTTTAATGATGTTGATGTAGATGTAGATGTAGCTGAATCATAAAATTACAGAGAAATTGGCATCTGCTTTCATAGGCCATTCTTGTTCATCCTCAAGTGTTAAGAACAATAAGCAGAGAGCCATAAAATAATGTAATGCTACAAATCCCCCACAGAAGACCAAAGTTATCACCCCATCCTCCAGGATTCAACATTTAATGTATGTGATTGGGACGGAGGCAAATTGATTGATGCAAGGCAAGGCAAACTAATAATTTAATTCTAGACACCAAGCATGCATATCTCCACCAACTTGTTAACAAAAGTAACCATCCAAGACTATCTTTTGGAAATTCATGAAACTACAGCTAAAGTCGGCTCCAGCTTTGCAGTACAAGGAGTGCATGCACGTTACGGGCATTTCCTTTGAATATACGAAGCTCCATGCTCTTCGAATCTAGCAAAAAAAGAGAATGCAAGTGTCATGAGCCGAATGATACAGAACACATTTGTTGCAAGTGTATTGAAAGAATATAAGTTTGCAGGTCTGTGTTCAAATTTTTAAAAAAGAAGAGAAGTCGATAGTAAATACAGATGTGAGTGGATAACGACTGCTTACTCAGACTTTGAGAACCACATTTGCTGAAAAGAACCAAGCGATGCCAATATACTCCCTCCAATCCAAACACTGTAATACATAAACCATCATTTAGAAGCATCAACTGAGGAATAGTTTTCTATAACCATTCTCTGAATAAAACATTCTTCTTGGTTTGGGTGTGGGGGTTGGGGGGGGGGGGGGGGGGGGGTTTGTGGTGTGGGGGTATGGGTGATGGTGGTGTTGAGATGTTGATGGTGCCGCTGGTTGTGAAGTGGTGGTCACAAATGATTTTCCATGAAAGCAGTCCCTAGTTGTCTTCATATTCTTTAGAAAATAAGGTTTATCTTCCTTTCAATTCTTTATAATTGACATTGTTTAGATTAAACACTATCGCAGACCAAAATTTCACATTTAGCTCTAGATAATTTATTGGAAATATTTGTACTAGGTGCTCTCATGATGCTCAGACTGTCAAAAAATATGTGGAATATATTACACTCAAGATACTGCAACAGCAACCACCACCATAATCTGCCAATTTGTGAATAAGGTCATGCTATGCATTTCTATTAGCTTTCAAGACAACTATTTTTTATATCAAATTATAAAAGAAAATAAGGTTAATAGCCTAGGACAAATTGAATAAATTCACTCAAGTGTGTACAATACACACAGGATAAAGCATTTGAGAAACTGTAATGGGCTTTAGAATTCAGAAATAATATTAAATAAGTAGACGGATTCAGAGCAAAGAGATGGGGTGGCAGTAAGCCAATTATGTCTAACCTAAATCTCCTCTCAGTAGCATTTCCACTTGCCAGCACTTTAACTCTTGCTGCTTGAGGAGATTCCTGGAAGAATATGGAAACACTCAAATCAGATGCCATTAATACTACCAATTGATTGAAATCACCAATCCTTAAATCAACCTCATGTGCAATAAATAAAAGCAGTTCCGACTTCTAACAATGCTTCCCACCATCATTGCTACATGTATGACTTCATAACAGAAATGCTATTTTAGATTTCATAAATTAGAAGTTTTGTTGAAGTGAATATGTGTTTGAATAAGAGAGGCTCGCTTAATAACATTTATAAGTGAACAAAATTTCAAATACATTTCATTCTCACTCGGGAGGTAAACAGGTGGTTTTGCAAGAATAGTAAGATCATTCCTTGGAAGGTGTAACAAGTGAGAGCCAAAAAATACCACATAGCTTAGTGGTGCTTGATGCTTGTTGTAAGGTTTCTCTTGGTGTAAGTGTAACCAGCAGAGGCCAGTGATGCTCAATGTAGTGATTAAGAAGAGGAAAAGAAATGCCAAAGAAACAGAGCAAGAGGTTTAGGGTTCAAATGGGGAATCAAAAGGTTCAAATGCTATAGAAATTTATTAGAATGTGAAAACGAGTATAATTTTTTAAGCATAAATTAGCTAAAGAGAAGCCAAGAGTGGTTCAAGAGTTCCAAGAACAACATAAGAAGCATAGTTATCTAATACTTATAACCAAGGATAGAGAGAATCTGTTTACATATCCCAACAAAGAGAAAAATGATACAATTATAGAAACCAAATTAAGTGCATTACAAACTTTAGTTTCAAATTAATCAGTAGATAGAAAGACGAAGAACTATTTCAGCAAATTAGCTAATGGAAGGTATAGCTTGGACTCATAAATCTGTCAAACTCTATAGAGAAAATTATGCTAAATCAAAAATGGTGTTAATGAATTTTTTTTTTTTTTTTTTGAAAGGTGGTGTTAATGAAATTTCAATTGGAGTATAGAAGAGTCTAGGTGAAATGGGTATCTACAGTTAACGAAATTATTCATGAGAATTTAAAAAGTACAATATTGTCAATAGATATATAAGATTGTAAAAACTATAAAAGTACTAAGGACGTGAATCATAAAATGGAATTACGCACAAATATCTAGTAACATAAGTTTTAGAGAACAGGCTTTTTATGCGTGTGTGATCAAATACCGAATTCATTCACCCCCTATAGACATTGGTGAAAAAATATAGAAAGAAAAAAAGCGATTTGCATATAACTTCTATTTATTAAAAATAAAAAACCTAATTTTTGGTCACCTGACTTCACATTTGGCTTTTGCCAGTGATGTTATTATTTTTCTCAAATGGTCACAAAATATCACTCTCTACAATTATGAAATTTCTTTGGCGTAAATAAAAATTAAAGGTCTTCATCCTAATAAAAATCGTCTCCCCCATGTTTCGTAAAATTTTATCTCCCATTAATCTTAAACATAGGTGTCATTACATATTTAGGGGTTCCTATGTATATAAAGGTTCTAAGAAGGGCATCCTCTATGATGACTTATTAAACAAGATTAGATGGAAAATAACTGGCTGGGTAAATAAATTCTGTCCCCAAGAGCAAAAATTACTCTCATACAATATGTGCTCGTCCATGCCAATCTACCTTTAACAGATACTCAAGCCTCAGATTGGAATTGAAAAATTGAGTATATTTGCAAAGATCTTATGGGGGTGAAGCTGATGGATTACACAAATCTATGGACCAAAGTGAAGGCGAAAATTTCAAGTCCTCCTAAACTCATCACTTCCTACAACTATTTAATATTGACAAATGTATCATGCATCCATTTTTGGGTCCCAGTTGAATAGTGGATCTCAATTATTTAATACACAAATCAATTAAATAGTGCAGGGAATATTGAGTACTCCATACTTCGAAAGCACTAGAATTTTTCCAAAGGGAAGAGGGTCTGTCTAACATATGAAGGAGGATTGGATGTCGACGTCTCATATCTACCTTAAGTCTCTTCTATGAAGCCATGATGGAGTTTTGAGGAAAATTACCATCCAGTCCTTATTTCTCAATTAAATATTGCAAAGGGACTCATCCATCTCGTATATGCCTCAAACATAATGAAGCCCCCTAATAGAAATGCATAAAGAGAGTGGCTTTCTTGTGAACTGAAAATTTCATGGAAATTAGGCGATGCAAACCATCTTTTTTAGGCATGATTTCTGGAGGAAGATGCATGCTTTGGCTCAAGTGCTCCCTGGTTTGCCAAGTAAAGGAGTTTTTCATTCTATGGCACATGAAATAAACAAATACTGCATAACACATTGCCTAAGGATCTTGTTCATCATATCATATTAGTGTTGGTGTTCCTGGATAGAAGGGATCGCTGCTTTAGGATTGAATCTAATGGGTGATACTACAAGTGTATGGAAATTTATGAGAGAAGCTAAAAGCACCCAGACCTCATGGCAATTTATTTGAAATAACCTTAACAAAGATTATCTCATTCTTTTACTGGAGACTATTGAATGTGGAATCCTTAAAGTGATCATCATCAGAAGCCTCATTGCTGATATAATCTGGAACTATATTGCTGCGCTCTTTGTCATCAAATTTCTACCTTGGCATCTACACAAGTGAGGTTTCCAGGTTTGGCTGAAAAATTTGTGACTTACGTCCATATTCAAACTACTGTACCTCAGCTAATTTCTTGGTTTATATGGAGTGAACAGCCATGCTAAACATAGTAATATCAAAATGGATGCACATAGAATAATCTGGAGAGTTCAAAATATAATCTCTCTAATGCATGAAGCTAGGTTATTCAAATATGAAATCTGGAAAGGAGATTTAGAGATTGCTCATAGACTGGCTTCTCCTAGATCAAACCAACAATCAGAAAAGCCTATAATTGTCAGATGGAATAAACTGTATGAAGATTGGTATAAACTGATTATGGATACCGCTCTAAGGGAAATCCAGGGCATGCAGCAGGTGGTGATGTTACCAGAGATGATTCGGTTAAAAGTTTTTGAGGCCTTCTACGATTTTTATAAAACGGAACTTAAGGCAATTCTTGGTGGATCACCAGATTCAGTCACGTCTTCGTTCAAGTGTTAATCATGTATTCATTTTACTCCGACTCATTAATGGCAGTTCAGCGTATTCTTCATAATGATCGGGGGCAAAATACACTTGATCAAGCATTTCACACAAGGACAGCACTAATTAATAATACGAGTCAATTTCCGTAAAGGCACTCAAGGGTCAGACTAGTTAGCTGATGAGGTATAGAAAGTGGGTGCATCCTAGCATTCCTCAGCAAAATTTTAAAGGTATCTTATGCTTAGATCATCAAAAAATTCCCTACACTCAAAACTGGGTTCCATAATTTTTACCCTCATTACTCAATTTGATGAGTCAATTAAGTAAGGGAGATAGCACCTCCTCATTTATGATTCTCTTCCTATTATCTCATGTCATTGAGGTAAGTATTTTAAATTTATGATTTAGTTGATACCTACGTTTTTTTCTCCGGTACCAATGGAGATAAAGCGGTGAGTCTCTCTCTCTATTAGACTACGAGACTTTACACTGTTGTTAATCTACATGTAGGGGTTATGCTAATGTGATCCTCACCACCCCCCCCCCCCCCCCCCCCCCCC